TTTTAAGAAAACCATTATACCCTGATTTCCCATTTTCAATGGGTTCAGGGTATAATAAAATTAAATTTTATAAGTGTCTTGTAGCAAATGCTACAGACAACTGAACGCAAAAACCGTTTATTCCTGTACGCAGAGTTCTTCTGGCGAATGTAAATCAAATAAATGTGTATATTAAATTAGTAGATAAGAAAAATAATAATTTCATTTTCCTTCTGCTTACAGAAATACAAATGTTAACGTGTTAAGCACTATTTAAAAACAATCAAATCAAATAAGTAGATCTATGTGGATAAAGCATGGATTTACTGTGTACTGAAAGCATATTGACTCATTCGGAAATATCGTTAATTGGGTATAATAACCAAACAGCACAAAATATTACAAAACATAACATCAAATGTAACTCCTTTTGCGAGCCTTTGTCTTATTCATCCGCATGCTTTTCGACTATCAAAACAGGCAACACAGCCTCCAGTGCCAGAGTCAACATTGCAGCGAATTCCAGCGTACCAATCGCTTGCAGTATGAGTGATCTTATGTATGTTTTATCTTCAGTTGCAACTCCTGCAAATGCAACCAAATTAACAAAGCAGAGAAGAAGTCAAGTACTGTGTAAAGTTCCTCCACATCGCTCATGTAACAACACCAAGTGGGCGTGTACAGCAGTAATAAAAAAAACAGATGCTGCAAACGATCACCATTTGATTTATGAAAATATGGTCGTTTCTGACCCCATTTTTAAAACTGACCGTTGTTTAAAAAATGCATTAAAAACTGAAGAAAAAGATCAATATATCCTTGGAACATATTTTAAAACTGTTCAAAAGGACATTACCCCGGCTATGCGCAAAATTGTAGCTCAGTGGATGATGGAGGTGAGTAGCTACTATACGTTCTAAAAGTAAGGTCTTTTTTCTCTCTCTCTTCCCTTCTCTGTTTCTTTTGTGCGAGTCTGTGAACAAATACAACAAATTTGTCACTAGATATCTATGTACAAGTAAAACAAATTTAGCTATAGATGTCTAGTCAATGTGTTCTGTGGATAGTGGTTGTATAATACAATCGGTAGTGTTCGATTGCAATGTAGTATACGTATACCCTGCATCCATTAAAAATGGGAAATCAAGGCATAATGCTTCTGTGAAACACGCAGAATGAGGCGTGATAGATCTATAATATCCTCCCCTACATATATCAGGATACCGAGTTGAGCTCATCTAGCCATGTCCGTCCTTCCGTATGATCGCAGAGATCTAAAAAACAAGTGCTTAAGTCATACAAGTTTATCATATTTGTATACCCAGAACCCCTAGAAAACAAGAATATACCTTGATTTCTTGATTTCAAACTTTTGGAGTCTGCCACGCCTCGTTCTGTCTGTTCCAAGCATTTTCACATATGATCATATTTTTTATACCCTGAACCCATTGAAATCAAGAAATCAGGGTATATTCTTGATTCCAATGGGTTCAGGGTATAAAAAATATGATAGTCCGGGTCGAGTGTTGCAATGGGTGACAGCTCCAGACATTAGTTTCTGCGCACAGGTTGTCTCCTGAAGTCTCCTGCAGAGCGTAGTGCTAACAGCAGAGTCGCATTGATGAACGGCGAAGGGTTGAGTTTCACAATCGTCTACTATCCTGTTATCTTCAAAGTCTAGTCTGCTATTATTATGTTGTACGGGGTAAATAATGATTTTCTTATAAACCAATTCAGGCTTAGGATGAGGAAATACATTTCGGAATTTTGGAAAGCCTTGATATTAGATATCTGCTATACTTATATTTGTGGCGTGCTCTTTTGGCAATTCTTTTATACAGGGAACGCAAATAAGGGTTATGCATTTTAAAAAATTGAGGCCTTTAGGAAGCCCCAAGAAGAGAGGGAAAACACACATAAGTTATTCTTTTACGGCAAATTAAAAAAAAAGGATAAACTTTTATTTCAAAATTGTTGAAAAATAAAAATTATGTTTGATTATTATAAATGATTTTTATGGTAAAAATCAAAAACAGTTACAGAACAATTTTCACATAAAAATCAAATCATAGAATTATGCCTTAACTTTTATTATAAGAATTGAATTGAAATATTTTATGAGCTGAAGGTGCTAGATCATATATTTTTATATATTTATGTGATCTACGAATTAATATCTTTCATTTGATATATAATATGTATGTAAATATTTAAATGTGTCTTTACTTATACATATATGTATGTATATTTAATTATTTACTTAGGCGCTTGTCCAGTGCACTTGCGCTGTGCACTTCTCCGTACCTATTTAGCAGGTAATGTGATGCAAATAAAGCATAATCGTACATATATATATTATTGTCACCTTTCACTGCACCTATGCATGTATGTACCTATGTACATATTCGGACTGATTAAATTTACTTCGCGTAATTTCGGTAATTATACCCTGAACCCATTGAAAATGGGAAATCAGGGTATAATGGTTTTGT